CAAAAGGGTCCAGGTACACCCGACATTGTCATTTTCTAATATTGGCAATGATGCAGTAATCAACCATCGTGTTCAACTCATGAATTCCCCGGGAAGTTGGGAAATACGTGGGTCCTGCCAGAGAAATCATGGTTGACAACATGACATTGGACGCTATGACCATATTGCAAATGGCAGTCTAAACGCAACGTGTAAGTGTAAACCTACCATTTGGGGATGGTTGAAATCCCACCATATCCCAGCCATAAAAATGGCCCATCTATGGTGATGACTTGGGGATGGTTTATGCCGGGTGAATCCCTTTTTTCTTACAAATCCCTCGCGATGGGACGCACATCCAGACATCTCCGTTGGTTGAGCAGTGTTCAAAAAAAAACCGTTTTGGTCCATTGAATCCTGGTTAAGATCAAAATTCCCGGTGAAAATGGATAATCCCCACGGTATTGCATAGATATTTCATAGTATCACCCCCCATCAACCTGGGATGTCGACTGATGTCGATAGCTCAAGCTGCTCAATCGAGAAGTTTCACTGGGCTGATTGGTGTGTCCAATGAAGGCAACTCTGAGGATGTTCGAGGTTTTGGAGCCGAATTAAAACATCCAAGTGATCTGCAGAGATGCAGCCGATGCATAAAAAGATGGCGCCTGCTGGTTGTCAGCTCACGGAGCCAGCTTTGGTAGTGGAAACCGGTGGAGATCCACCATGTCACCCTGATCACATCCCAAAAACGCACGTCTGCCTCGACGCGACCCAGGGCAGAACTCTTTTCGGAGCACGCCTTGAAAGATGGGTACCTGGATGCAAAGCCTGAGGGAAGATGAACCACAAACGACTTTTTTTTTTTTTGGTCAACCTGCTAGAGCTGGGATTAATGATCCGGAGAATGGAACATATGGAATAGTATATATCAATATGAACCGATCAGCCAGTATAGGTCGAAGCAATTTCGGGGCTTGGCCAGTGTGCCTTCTTGTACTAAATGTGTCTCCCCTGGATTGTTTGGGGCCTGCGAGTGCTGGCCTTTTTAAAGGCTTTCATATCCAAAATCAGGGGTCTGACCCATGAGCATGGTTTTTAGAGATGTTGAGAGCGAATCGCCACCTGTAAAAACATAACTGACATAACCCTTTTGAACGCTGGCTATGGACTGTGCCCTTGGAGGGGACCGCCACAATAAGCTAATGGCTTCCACAGGTCAAGCCAAACGAAGAGTATCCAAGGAGTTGGAAAACCGCTCTGCAACGCAAATCTTCAAAAAGGGATGATGATGAACACAGGACTTGTTTCCAAATCTCCTTTTTCATGAACTCTCACAGAAATTCACCCCCTGGTCATCCCTGGTCAATGAGAAAAGTCGCCATTGCTCAGGCCCAGCGTGGCCAGCTTTCAGGACTGGGATGGGAGACGGCAATGGCAGAGATCAAAAGCCGAAGAAGCGAAGAGTCAATGATAGTCAATGAAATTGGCCTATGACTTTTCATGACTCGACATTGTCGGATGGCCGTTCATTTTTTTTGCACTCAGAATTTGGAATTTGAGACATGCGTTTTTATATGTGGGGCCGGGGCCTGCAGATTGCAAACATTTGGAGAACAGCTGGCAGTTTTCTGTCACTCGATATTTCCATTGTCGCAGGTGAATGGTGAGCGCAAACATGTGTCACAAAACCCTGCAGGGCTCTTTCCGCCATGGTTGTTTCTTGTTGAAACGCTGTTTTAAGACAAAGCTATCAGATGCTCAGAGGTTACCACAGAGCTAGGTATGTGCCGGAGGCATTTTTGCGTGTTCAAGGAGGCTGGAGTTCCAAAAGGCGTCTCCAGGGCATGTACCGACAAGCTGTAGACATCGAGGAGGAAGAGGTGTTGGAGTTCAATTTGATCCAACGATTGACGTTCCTGGAATACCTTCCAGTGAGGTCAGGCATTCGCAAGTCTTCCAGCAGCCCGGAGCTCACTGTGGAGTGCGATCCTTGCTCGACAAGTACAGGACCCCAGAAAGAAAGCTGGGGTCGGCAGGTCAGTGTCAGCACCGATTGTTCCTCTGGGGCCACCTGGAGTCGACAGGAAAGTACAAACAGCAGATGTTTGACATTCCGCGACACTTTGGTCAATGCTGCTTCCACGAAGTCTGACAACTCGGCTACCCCGACAGACTTCGCAGACTTCGCCGATCTTGAGATTCTTGAGACTGGATCAAGCGGAGAGCTTGGTACGTGCGGTCAATGGTCTGTGGGATCAGCCCTGCATTCCCAGGGTGATTGCAAACCTTGTGCGTAGACCCTTCTCGCTTGACTTTCATGATGGACTGAAGTTGAGATAGTTGAGGGTCCTTCCATGTTTTCCAATGTTTTCCATTTGTGCGAGATTCTCAATACTTTTCATTTTTTCCATGGTTCCTTTGATGTTCAGTCCTGATCCATGTAGCTGAAATATGTTGAGATATGCTGGGATGAGAGTCCAGTGCCAGCTTTTGATGACATCTGTGACAGAATGTGTGGATCGCAGATTGTACCCTCTGGTAAACTAAAACAGATTGCAAACTTCAAAATGGCCCAGTCGAAATAGTGGATTTACCCATCTATAAAATGGGTGGATCTTTCCATATAGTTATGTTATAGTTTACCAGAGGGTAATCTACGTTGATCTATGTTGCTCTATTGTGGTTGCTAGCCGCCAGACTCGCCAGGTGGTTTTGGCGGCCGGGTGGCTGCACTCGAGGCGACTCATGTCACCTGGATTGAAAGATGTTCCCGGCTTTTCCTTTTCGTCGATCCACCATTTAGATCCATTTAGGGAATCTACCCTCTGGTAAACTATAACGTAACATAACTATATGGAAAGATCCACCCATCTCATAGCTGGGTAAATCCACTCTTTCGACTGGGCCATTTTCAAGTTCGCAACCTGTAAATTTGTTTACCCGGCCGGGTACTGGGAATTTTGGCGGTGATTTTTAGGGGCCCTCAGCATGCCACCAAGGTCAGCATTGTCACTTGTGCCTTCGAGGTGCCTTGCAGAAAAGGAAGCGGCAGCATCGCCAGATGTTGAAGGCGGGACCGCGCCGCTAAGGGTGGCAGCTCCGTGAAGGCCCTGGGTACCGATGGTAACCTTAGAATTTCATGTTTTAAGGCCCTAACTGGCCACTTCACTCCATAGCAAAAAAGCCTTCTGTGCAGCTTGTGCGAAGGTGATCCCTGGTGATCCCTGCAAGACTTTGTGAACCAGGTTACACCCTGTTTTACGTTGCATGTAAGCACTGTAAGCACATGCATGTTTCGCGGGTGACACTGCTCAACTGCATAGTCAAGGCTTGGCAATGACGCGTACAGGTCTTCCAGCACGGACTTGCGACGCACAAGTGTCGTTTGCACGGCACAAGTGTGCGGCATCAGGTGGTCCGCTGGAAAGACGATGCTAGGGTCCCAAATGGGATAGCTCAAGTTCTGAGTGCATTTGTTTGAACATGTTTCAACTCACTGCATATAATTATATTATATAATTCGGAATTCGCTGCAGCCTGTCACAAGCTATACGGTGCAGCCCCGCCAATCTGCCTTCCTTGTGATAAAAAGTGTGGGGCCGCCTGGCTGTGAGATGTGATCCCATGGACCATGGATGTCCCAAATTTTGGTATATTTCCTTTGTGTACTTGGTGGTAAAAAGCCCTGGAATTGTCAATGGGTACGTCTCCTTCCCGATTCCTGGGGTGAACTCACCCACAAACACGATTCCTGCCCTTTTCGTTTCCATGATTTTCCAATTTTCATGCCCAGAAAAAGTTCGGGGACTTCGCAGCTAGCCATGTTTGATTACCCAATAACCCAATAGTTGGTTAGCTATATCATATCATATCCCATTGATATCCCGTTAGTATGCTATTCATCTGGGTAAATTTCATCACGACCTCACTGTTCTCCCGAGCCCTGGAATCATGCTTAGGATTCGGGAAATCATCCCCTTTTATGGCCGAACTATTCAGGTTAGTGACATATTATACCCTCTGGTTATGTCAAAATAGCTATTGAAAATGGCCCAGTCGAAATAGTGGATTTTCCCATTCAACATGGGTGAATCTTTCCATGGCAAACTGTTAAATAACCAGAGGGTAATTTACCCAGATTCATATCCCATGAACATCCCATGAATTCCCTCTGCGAATCCCGAGGGCCCATTTTGTCGACAGGAATTGGCCAGGGCCAAGTCGATGGCAGGCCGGGTCCGACTTCAGTGTCGGTGGAGGTTGACGGAAAATTAGGACAGAAACAAACATGGGGATATAACCAACAGCGTACGGGGATGGATGAAAACTTACCATGTTTTTTTTTTCTAGGGATTTTCCATATTTTTTGGGGATGAACATTGATGAACATCCATTAAATCCAAGCTATTTTGGTGTGAACAGAAGGGTAACACTCCAAAACACGACCCAGATGGCCAATTCTATGGCGCTATGACATGAATATGTCTGAAAATGGGTAGTATACCGTATACCACCAATTTACGGTCATTTGAATTGAGAACATGAGCAGCCATAGGATTGCTGTTGAGTTTTCCCATTTTTGGTTTGCTTTTCCCATCATTTTTTAGGGAGCTTTCCATGCTTTTCCAATCATTACGTATTCTTTTTGGTACCAAAGCCGCATTTTTTAAGCCCAGTCACACACTGGGCCTGCCAGTGCGCTGGAGCCAGGGTACGACTTGATGCAAGCGAATTGCCAGCACTACGCGCAAGACTTCTGGAAGTTTGCCGTGGGACATCGCCTGGGCATGCCAAATCAGGCAGGGTTTTTTCGCTGCAATTTGCGAAGCCTTTCTGCTAGCGTTGATGATATTGAGATAAGCTCAATCCAATGAATAAATAAACATATATATATATATATATCATAGTGAGTGTCACAGTCTACAACAAACTATGTTACAGAAATCCCTGTCTCGCTTCTAGTATCCTGGTTTCACCGTGTCAGCCGTGTCAGCCAGGAGTTTCTGAACCTCTTCAAGGCTGTGGACTGTTGGGGAGTCGCAGAGTAGACAAACCGTGCTTGGCTAATTCGATGGTCCATTTATTTTTGCCATAAAATAGGGATATGTGTTATGTGTGTCTATTAATATATATATATATATAATAACAAATATATACAGTATATATATATATGTTTGTACATATACACACTTACTTAGCTAATGGATACACTTTAAACTTTTTCATTGTGTCTGCGCTCGCCCCTAAGTAGCCCAAACCATGCTTCTTGAGGCGTGGGCGCGCGGACCCAATGAAAAGGGTTCAAGCTTTCTTTTAGAAGAAAACCCGCTGAGTAAGTATACTGAGTAAGTATACATATATATATATATATAATAGCCAGACGAAGCAGTCCCACAGGGCATCTATATGTTTAATCTTGATATCACTAAGACATTTATGGAAGTTACTAAAGATACTATCTACGTAGGCCATATGTCCCATGGTCAGATAGCCCCCAACCCCAAGGATGCCCATCCACTAAGTCACTGGTGACTGATACCGGCGATACCTCGATTTTCAGCCCGAGATTGATTCAGCTATTGAAAATGGTGATTTATAGTGGATTTTCCCATTGAAAATGGTGATTTTCTATAGCTATGTTAGTTTACCAGAGGGTATATAAATGAAGATGAAAAAATGCCAACTAAAAGTATCTAACTAAAAGTATCTCATAGTGACTCTAAATTACTCTGATAGCTACAGTATGCTACAGGTTTAGTTGCGCAACCACATAAGAAACCACTCAAACTCGCGCAGATCTTCGGATCACCAAGTCATGGTGATCGCATGTCCGGCCCTGAACGCGGCCTTATGTGTCATGGTCTCTGGGAAAAAACACAGCCGTTTTTTTTCGATGGAAAAACGCTACATTTGATAGATTTACATACTAGAAACGTGGTCTTCGATAGCTGTGTAGCTATGTTAAATAGCCAGAGGTATGAGCATGTTCATAGATTTTCATGGTACACCAATGCAACAGTATATATTTTTTTAAAACAACAAATCAGGTATCCAACATTTTAAGATACATTTAAGATACGAAGCCAAAAGATCCTCGAAGCTTGAACACTGAGAATCTGTAGGCCCAGGTCGTGGTGCCATGCCACAAGAAACAGGATGGTGATTGGTACTTGCGTCTGCATTCCAGGAAGTAATCAACTATATATATATATATTATAACTATATAATGTACGACATTAATATATACAGATATAATCAATGATATATATATACATATATATATATATACATATATATATATATGTATATATACATGTACAATAATATAAATGTATATACAGTACAATCATGAACATCTATAGATATATACAATAATATACACCATTCGAGATATGCGCCAAGGGTGGCACCGGGCGTGTTGGGCAACGCCTCCTATGCCATCTCCTCTGCCCGGGCCTAGATGGCCTGGAAGATCGAAGCAAAAATGGGCGTCCCTTAGACCCATGGTATTTTCATGGTTTTAATGTGTTTTAATGTGTTTTAATTCTATTTTCCATGGTTTCAGATGGTTAATAGAATTTGGTTTATTGTTTCAGATGGTTCAATGATTATTTTCCATTAATCATCGGAATTCTTAGGTAAGGACATGTTTATCAATGGTTCAAGGGTGCCCCTGCAAATTCCTGGTACCCCTTAATAATGTCCTATTTGCCACATTAAGACATGGCATTTGTATGCATTTGTTCTGAACAATATCTGGGCAAATCCATAAACTTATACCAATCAAGTGGTACCGAATAGGGCAGCAACCATTTTGCACACTGAGAAGAACAGTGGGCGTATATATATATATATATAAAGATGAATTGGCGTTGGACAAGAGATGTCTACACATGTCTACATATATTGTTTTCCATCGATTTTTGGCGGCAGGGATATGACTGTCCATTGCAGCCTGGGGTGTGGATAGCCAGGGTCAAGGGTGTTAGCTGCTGCCAGGAAACAGCATTTCTTGTCCCAAGTGAAGTTGGAGCCTGTTAGGATGTATAAGTGCTGTCTCGGTAGGCTATCCCTGCATTTGGTTTGCCTTGGCTTGTTTTTTGAACCCCTTTGGAGGATGTGGGTATGGATCAACGGGGGCCAATTTGCGGTTCCCAAAGGTCTTAGAAATTAGAGCCAGGCAGCCATGCCGAAAATTCCTTTGCGGGAAATCATCCCAGAACTACCTTGCTGTCGGTGAATGATGATGATTCTTAATTGTCCTATACCCTTCTTTTGTTTGCTAAGATGAGTTTTTTGTGGACTTCTGCTCAATTAACCCGCAAAGCATAAACGACGGCACGCCTTGATGATCAGATCCGGGCTTTCAACATGTTTCAACCGTAACTGGTGGTTTGGAACATTTTTTATGTTTCCATGAACAGTTGGGAATGGAAAAATCATCCCAACTGTTACTCACTCACTCCATCATTTTTCAGCGGGGTAGGTTGAAACCCAATTTTTGTCCATGCACGGTAAAACATGTGGGTATGGGTCAAGTCATTAGGTACCCCAATAACTGGATGGTTAATACTAAACTAGACATTCACATCTGTGGTCCCACATCGGTCTTCCATTTTGACCCACATCCAAAAGAAACCAAGCATTGATCGTCCCAAATCCCAGTAGCAGTGACTGAGGGGTGACCCCAGTTCGACCCAGTTCGAAGTTGGAGAACCGCCTATGTTGCACAGTACCTAAAGGGAAAAGCCCAGTTACTGGAGGTATAAACCAACTTAGCCAACGTAAATCAATGTAAATCAGCTATAGATCTTCATTTTGCTTAGTGAAATCATAGCTATACTAACTTAATCACCACAAATCAACCATAAATCTCCATGTTGAATGGTTAAATCGCCATTTTTGCTGGGTTTGACCCAGAAAATCTCCACAAATTGGTCCAAGAATGCTGAGGTTCATCCTTGTCGCAGCATTTTGGACATCGCCCTTCTGGTGTGGCCAAGTCCTGCCGCGGAGTAACCAGATTTTCATGGGGATTTAGGTCGCAAAAATGGTAACATGCTGGGTATACGTGGTATATGACTTGGAATATGAGGATATATAAGATACCAAAAATATATTACTGGGATTTGTATCCCAGGAAGCGTATGTGGTTTACAACCTGTATCACAACCTATAGGGCTTCGCACACAGGTGATGCCCCAAGGCTTGTTGGTGTTGCCTAGAATGTCGCCCGCTTGCTCTGTTGTTGTTGTTGTTGTTGTTGCTCTTGTTGTTGTTATAGTGGTAATGTGATTGGTAGTGTTGCTGAGCATCTTGCAACCATCTGACTACATAGGCTGGAGCTACACCCCCAAGTACCTGAACATCTTGGGAACACATCCAAAATTGGATGTTTAATCACAATTTGACCAATGTTTATATGGCCACAACTGTGGGTATACATCTTCTGCATCGATTCAATGGGTAGTAACAGTAAGCATATTGTTAGCCAGTTAGATGAGTGTCCCCAGTTATGTTAATGGCTTATAAAACACTTACGAAATAAGTCTGATGCACATCCAAGTAATAATTTAATATACTCCCTTAGATATCCCAATATTCCAAGTCATATACCAAGAAATCGCTCCTACCAGAACGCTGCGCTACGTTGGCAAACCTTGGCATCAAGAAACTGCATCTGGGTAATGTCAACCCTGGATTTATTGTATAAACATGTATAAACTCTGCCCAAAATTTATGTAGGGGGTTACCACCACTGTAATATATACACCTATGCATCATGTCGGATTGAAACTGGTATCACCCAAAACTTGTCAACCGACCCATCTAGCAAGACAGCACCACTTGTCGCGCAGAAGCTGCCGGTGGTCCCTGCTCGGCATGACGAGGAGGAGGTGGGAACGGGGTAGGGGAACGGGCTGAGAATGTGGGGAAACCACTACAATCTCATGGTTTGGGACATCATGTTTGCAATTTTGTCCAGCCATAAATTGGGGTAATGTTAGTAAAGCAATAATAGTAAACCATCCCCAATTTTACGATAAATGAGTGATTTAAACTTTAAAAATCATCAACATATGGGTGGTATATCATTGCTCTACTAACATTAAATCGTTGAAGTCCCAAATTTTGGAAAATTCATAGTGATCCAGTGATCCAACCCAAATGGAGTATCTTGGGTGAGATACGAGGTTTTAGGCACCTACAGTTTTGGTTGGTGGTTTTCAAATCATGATCCACTTTCCATCCCTCAAAGTGTAATCACGATTCCACTTGACTCATATTTTTTCTTATGGGTGGTTCAACCACTGCCAAGCTTCTTGGTTGAGGGGAAAAGTTGCGGGAACCCCAAAGCAATTTGCGTGGTAAACGCACTGTTTCAACAGGTTAATTTCCACCATGCAAAACTGGTTGATGGTTTGGAACATTTTTTATTTTCCATAATATATTGGGAATAATAATCCCAACTGACTTTCATATTTTTCAGAGGGGTAGGTATACCACCAACCATACATATATACATATATATATATGTATTATATAATCCACCAGAAAATCAACTATAAACCATCATTAACCGTTGTTAAACCATGAAGCAGCAAGTGATAGTTCTCGATTTAATCAAGCCTTCGATGGTTGGGAAGATTTCATGGTAAAACCCATGGTTTTTGTGGCCGCAAAAAAGGCTTAGCCATGGTTAAAATTGCGGGCTAAAAGTAAGAGACTTGTTCAGCCAATGATAATTGTGCATATTGTGCATACTATAGAAATCTATAGAATATAGTGGGGATTTTTTCAAAATCGCTGGAAAATCCGTGATAACCCATCAAAAAAAACCCTTGAATATAAATAAGTATTGATAAGTGATGTTTGGTTGATGGTTGGTTGATGATATCTGGGTAAATTATAACGACCTCACTGTTCTCCCTCACTGGAATCATGGTTAGGATTCGGGAAATCATCCCCTTTTATGGCATTATTTCAGGTTAGTGAAATATTATAATTTACCCTGGTT